CAATGGGACTATATCCAGGGTAGTGCAACTCTGATGCTTTTTGTATACATGGCCCTAAAATGTTAGTTCAACTAAAGCCGTGAAGTTGAACTGCCGAATCGGTACTATTTCTTACTCAGACTAAAAATATTTGTAAATCGGACATCCATACACTCGCTTCCGCCGACACATTCCATGATATCTCGTATAGAAGGAAGCTGTGCTATTGGGCGATTCACAGAGGGTTCACATACTTTGGCCCTTTTGGGTAATGTTATTTCAGCTGGCATGGTGCTGTAGTTATCTCAGTTGAGATGTCACAGTAGTTAAATGTTTTTAAACGACGAAAGACCACCACCACTCTATAATTAGCTAAACTAGAGTTACGTTATCTCCCTCGCCGACCTCAATGAACGGGCAGAAACCTTTACGTAGTGTTGGGGATCAGTATTTGCAGTCGAGCCAGCTCCTCGACTGTTTGAGGAAGCCGAGATCTGCCAAAAATCGAGCATAAAGGATTAATGGCCTGAGACATCATTCGCGCTGCTTGGCATGGAAGTCGGATTCGAACTCCTAATATGGAAACTTGACTTGTGTATTTATTTCCATTCTTGGCTTAGTAGGTGCGTTCTGAGGGAACTGAACCATCCTTGTGTAGCTGGAACTCAACTTGACACGTGACGGGCGCACTTTTTGGAATAGTGAGGCCTCAAAGACTGCTGGTTGTTATATATCTACTCAATACGGGTGTATCACGGTAGCACCACTTAATTCAATATATTACTATATCACTATATCTTTGGGCTAACATTAGTGAATGTATTTGTGACATTTGCTCAGGCCTAAACTCTAGGGTAGCTCATCTTCAAGAAACTAAGCATACAGAAAAGAAGGAGAAAGGAAGAATCTGTGTGTGAGCTCGCTACAGCCCTTTGTAAGCGCGTATCGTCTCGTCGGTGCCTAAATAGGAAGTCGTAACAACAAAGGGATATCCCGTTGTACGGCCAGCTAGGGCTTAGGGCTCAACGAGATCACGGAGCGGCACTACAAAGGACCGAGCTCACACGACAGCGATTCTTGCAGCCGTCACAGTATTGACTGATCGGCGTCCTGATTGCGCAGTTACATATTTTGCAATTAGAGTATGCTACTGTAACGGATAGATACATATTATCGACAAAATAATAACCAAAACGCAGTTGCCGCAGACTCAGGAAGATGGAGAGAATTTTCCTAACCGATCGGATTCACGCCCTGAGCCTTCCCGCGTGCCAATTGGAGTGGCAGAACTCGCTACTAGCTATTCTAGTGTTTTAATTACAGTCGCACCAGAAATCTCCTTCCCAATTGCCTACATAGACATTCATTTTCAAACCCTAACGCCAAGTGTTGTCTGCCTGTATATAGCTAGCCTGTTTTCAAAGTACCAATTGTCAACTGTACATATGCCAAGATAACCCATAATCAGTCTGTTTATGGATTAGTACTCTTGGCATTAGGGTTCGAAAATGAATATCTATCTATGCAATTGGGAAGGAGATTTCTGGTGCGACTGTAAAGAAGGCAAAGAGTAATTATTGTCACGCTGATTGTGCAAAAAAACTAAGAAAATGGTCATAATCAACTCGTCAGTCACCTCCTTAGCTCGAGGTCCAAAATTGAGGACGGCACTCTAGCAACTACAATTGCATGCCGATGAATAAGGCAAGGTAGTTGTGGGTTCTGAACTAGGTGCAAAGATCGTTGTAAAGGTCGTTGGCTGAGATATTGCAGTAACTGTGACGGTTACGGTGGAGGGGGGGTTGAGTATGGTTGTAGAAACATCGGAGGGGATAGTGGGTGGTGGAGAACTATCAGCGGCAGTAGGAGATATGAAAGAAGGCGGGGAGAAGGGAGTGAGCGTGGTTGTAGAAACATCAGAGGGCACAATGGGTGGTGTCGGGGAAGTGTCAGAGGGTACAGTGGGTGGTGTTGGAGAAGTGTTAGAGGCAATAGTTGAAGTTGGAAAAATCTCCGTGTTTGTAATGGTGGGTGTGGCAGTAAAAGAAATGGGTGGTCCAGGGGATGAGGCGGTTGGTTGAATGGTCGGAGACCTGTCGAGACAAACAGGTTCAATATAGTTGGAGTTAGAGGATGTGCCAGAGGATGTGCCCATGCACGGAGAATTATTGACAGTGACTGTATAGCACTGATCCCGTGCCTGCTGCTGACCGTTACAGACAACATCTAAATCTCCTGGTCCTGTTGGCACATCATCTAGAAAGATTATCTGACCAAATTTCTCACAGGACTCAGTCTCAGGATAGAAAAAGGTACCCAGGGAATATGTACGATTCAAGTCGGCGTAAAAAAGCTGAGCCGAGCAGTTATTCCCGAGATCCCTCAGACGCCAATCGGTTAAAGTCGGGCAATTCGCCTGTAATGATATACCGCCTAGAGAGCACGAATTTGACATCTTTACACCAGATCGATACCAGCAGAACATTCCTAAAGCTTTAAAATATACTAACAAATCTATTAATAGCTAAGATTTTAACTAATGCCCGCTAATTACGGGATGCGTACGTGCTATGGGCATGGGAGATTTATTTCTGTCACAAGAGTTAAGATTGGGAAACGATCAATTTACAACGCCTAGCTTGAGCCACACCGAATTCCGAATTGCATCCAATTCACCAAGTGCCTCACAGCCAACGCGCTCAAGATTGACGTGTTCTCCGAGCCTAGTATGGAGTAATTAGATAGTAGTATGAATCATAGATTTACTAGAGAAAGTATGTGGTCATGTATAGATTAATAAATGGTTTCATCGGATCTTAGGAATTAGAACTTGGAGGTCGCGGGATAAATAACTAACGTAATCAAACTCACCACCAGCTCGCTTTCTCGCTTTCTCGGAAAAAGCGGTCTACACAAATTTCAGGCTTAAATTTCTAGTCTCCTTTCCAAGTGTACATAGGTTTTTTTAACCCCTAATTAACCCCACATGCTAACTACATCTAGATACTCAGTATGCTAATAAAACTACATAGCCATTGTTACGAAGCCAGACTGCATGACACTAAAAGGTACTATCACGAAAAAGGAAAGGTTTCAAATTACAAAGGAAAGGTCAGTACCCGTCATGGACAGTAACATGTACTGTGCAATCAGAGAACAGAAATCACGTGAAGATAGGAAAGATATATCGTTATCCAACCCGTCGCTTCACCTTCCCCCGCTCTTCGCTCTCTAGGGAATACTGTTCGAGGAGTCAAACCTGATTTACTACAGCAGGCTGTATCAGCCTGTGTACTCCATAAAGCATACTATGGCGCAGAAACCTGGTGGCCAGGACGTACTCGCCCTGGACCTTCCCAGATTTCAAACCGAGTTGGAGAACATCTTGAGAAACTAACTAAAGTAATACTAACAGGCGCAAGAGCAGTCCTTCCAGTCTTCCGCACAACCCCAAAGCCAGTCCTTTATCGAGAGTCTGGATTCTCTCCACCAGAAATCGAACTAGATCGAATAGCCCTCCTTGCAACTGTCCGCCTACGGCGTCTCGACCCTTATCACCCACTTCGAAGACGCGCAGAACAGATCGCTAGTAATGGCCGACAAATCAGCCGATTTGCCCGCCGTACACTGGCCCTCCCAAACTCTGAACAGATAAACCCTCTCCAATACGCTCCCTGGTACCCTCGCGAGCCTCGTGGGAATGCTCAAGCTCGAATAGGAGCTCCCATGGGACGCACTAAGGAACAGGCAGCGGCTAATTTCATGGCTTTTCAACGTACCATCCCTAGCTCAGATATTGTAATCTTTTCAGATGGATCTAGGCTAGCAGACGGACGTGCAGGGGGTGGCTATATTGGACTTCAAGCACACCATCAGTTCCTCCGCTCCTCACTCTCATACGGACACGGGAAAGAGGTCTTCGACGCAGAAGCAGAAGCAGCTCTAGCTGGCGCTCAAGCAGCAATAGCGTACCCAACAGCTCAATTTGCTACCAACCTATGGATCTGCCTTGACAACCTGGAAGTTGCCATACGCCTTTTATCTCCCTCTACAGGATCTTCCCAAGAAATCTTTGAATCCTTCCGCACCCTTGCAGCCGCCTGGCCACTTCGCAAAAGGCTTCCTCACACCAAAAGCGGATCTATCCAAATCCGATGGGTCCCTGGACACGCCAAAATCCCTGAGAACGAAGCGGCTGATCTCGCTGCCAAAGAGGGAGCTGCCTCAATCCCTCCTGATCCTCACAAATCCTCATACGCCTCGCTAAAGAGATACGCCAAGACTCAATCCCTATCCGCTGCTCAGTCACAATGGGAGAAGGTGGCACCACAGAGCTATCAAGATCTAGAAATAACCACTTCCCCTAAGCGCCCTGGGGAGCTTCAACTCAACCGACTTGACCTCGGCCATGTTATTGCGGCCCGTACTGGTCATGGAGACTTTGCAGACTACCATGAACGCTTCAATCATGATGATGCTTATCTTCTCTGCCGATGCGGAGCACGAAAAGCACCTCTGCACTTCTTCTTCTGTCATATAGCTAAGAGACGAGCCCCTCGGCCTCCTGGGCCCCCTTCTGAGGTTATCTCTTTTCTCTTAGGCACTGCTAAAGGAGCACAAAAGCTAGCCTCATGGCTAGCAGAGACCCACTTCTATGAGGATATCTGCCCTCGCCAACCTCTCCTTAGCACCTAGCTAAGACAGCCCTACTCTTCCTTTATATTTCTCTTCTCCTTCTTTCTTCCTCTTCTCCTTCTTTCTTTCTCTTCTCTTCTTTCTTTCCCTCTCTGCAAAACTTACTGTTCAGGTATAATAGTGGTGGAGTAATAGGTCATGGAGTGTAGGCGGACCATTGCAGCTGGCAAATACCTAAAACCCACTCAAAGTGGACCTCCCTGTAAGACCACGGCAGCTATGGAAATGCGCCAAAGAGTCTCTTATTTGTACATAAATCTGATAGGACCCGAAACCCGAGGCTTACCCCTCGGCGGCCTATGTCCCAGTAGGGATCGGTGGGAAGCGTGCGAGTCACGAACCACGGCCGTTAAATATACACACACACACACACACACACACTTCACCTTCCCCCACCCTATCCAGTCCGAATAGGGTGGGGGGAGGTGAAACGACGGGTATGCTTAATATTACCTGTCGACAGGCACCTCTTGTACGAGATAGTTAGCTAAAGTAGCGTACTCAAACCAAGCAGATTGGCATCGTCACAGTACGGGGGATCTCTTCTATCTTAGTTTTGTTACCGTCCCAGTCATCGTCCTTACTTCATTACTTACAACTCGTTACGCTCCACTATATCATTGGTCGGAACCTGTGCGAGGTTCAATTGTCCTAACGTATCACGACGCGCCGCTGTTAGAACTAAGGTGGATCCAGGTCCGTGACTCATTCGTATGTAATTAACATTATACGGGATATGTATAATTATATTCGAGAAGGACCACTGAAGGCTAAGTACACAACAGCTGCAGCAAGGTCTACTGTACGTGAAAGTGGGAACAGTTCCAGTAGTTAATGTTAGTTCTAGTGTGACTGGTTCGGTTCATATTCCCATTCATGCCTCGCGAAAAGTCACCTTCTCGTGGTGAGGGACGTCAGCAAGCTTAATTTCATAGTCTAGCTGAGAAACTTTCCAAGTCAAAACCCAGTGGAAAATCTCTTATCGATGGAACGGCAGGGCAGGAGAGCTTTGAAAGGATACGTCAACGAGCCTCCTAATCGTCCTACCTACCTGCCACCAATCGATTCGTCAGTCCTTCGTCTGCTATCTCTGGAGTTATCACCAGCGAAGCAGTCAGCTACTTCGAGCACTAACTTGAGAAGTACTCTTGGTAAATCACTACTAAGGGAAGAGGTTTACGAAACTACACCGAGAATGGACGCGTGGGGAATGCGGCGTCTAAGAGGAATGGGTTACTGTATTGCTCTTGGAGAATATGATAATAGTGACAAGAAGGGAACGTTCAGGATATAATGTGTAGGCTAGAGGGATTTTGCAGCTGATACAGCTTTTCCTCTCGACATGAGGCCATGAGCACAGTGTACATGTATAGTATGCAATGCAGGACAAATAGCGTATTGGAGCTATTCAGGCTTGATGCTTCCGGGCGTAATGAACTTACTACAGTCGATTTCGAAAACAGTTTCCCCTCTGGACACTCACTGGTTGTTTCTCGGCCCGTACCCGAAACAGCGTTAAACCTGAATTAGGTTAGATGGTAAACTATCGTCTACTCATAGTCTACTCATAGACTGCCATTAATTACAGCTTAGCCATTATAGGGTTAGCGCTGTTTCGGCTACGAGCCGAGAAACAGCCAGTGTGTGTCCAGAGGGGGAAACTGTTTTCGAAATCGACTGTACTACTACTACTACTAAATTACTAACCGTACTAATTTGGGGTCGATGACAAAGCACTCATTGAATTTAACTGGGTAAATGAAAGAAAAAGGGGATCGTTAACGCATTATTATGTCAACACAGCCTACAAAGGCCTCTAAATAATAAAATTTAGATCTCGATGGGCTATGTTTACTTTGACTATGTACTTATATCATGTAGACCTCATCTTTTGCTCCAAAGTAGACGTAATGGAGAGTTATCTTGCTGAACTGATGGTGAATGTATGTATCCCAACCTGATTTTACATAGACATACGATTAAATTGTAACAGCTTAGTGGGGAAATATTACACGTACACAACAAAATGTGTTCAGTCTCCCCTAGAATAAGCGAGGAAAGGTATAAGTTTCTATCAGGTATGCTCCACTATATTCACGATATATATGACAGCGGCGCCGATGACTGGGCCCATACCATTGGAATCGTCTTACTTTCTATATTTTATATTGAGGCTTTTGCGAAAAGGACACACAACACAAGCGATTTATATCTCAGTGATGATGATCGCAGTTGTGAATTCTGGAGTCTGTTAATGGTGACTCTGATACTCGCAAATAAAGGTATCAACCAAATTGATGTTGTTTGTGCTGGAGCTAACACGGTATTCTAAAGTGTCAGATGATATTTGGGTCAGCAACGGATGGTGGGCACGTCGGTCTGGGCTTAAGCTAAACTACGTCAATCAGATTGAGAGGAGGTTCCTATCTGTATGTAATTATGAATCTCTCATTCTATCTCCGCTTGAATGGAGGCAGTGGGTCAAGTGGATAGCTTTGCATGCCATCCACTTAGGAAATATTCCGGAATTATTGATGATATATCTTCAAGCCCTGAACTAGCTCAGAGAGTGCTCCGAGAAACGGCCTCACAGGGGAGACTTGGATCTCTTATCTTATCTATTTCTCTTTCTTTTCTTTACAGTACAATGACCTTAGTGTGTGTTCATAAAGGCGGGACAATGCCCATGTAACATAATGTGTCTTCAGTTACATTGTACGTACTCATTTATATACTGATAAGGAATTACTTAAGCGTGAATCGCCCCCTCCATCTGTAATAGGAGGTTAGTCCGTTGGTTAGACAGGAGGAACTATCAATATGGTAGGAGGGTTGAGTGTCTTTCAATCTTCATTGACAAAAATATTGTTGGTAAGATACAGAAACTGAAGCTTGAGAAAAGAAAGTAATCCTAGTTAGAAGGAGCCTCCTTCTTATGTACGCGTGAGTGGTTGACAAGAGACATCACTTTGTCCACCTGGGTTACACCGTCTCCGAGCGAAAGAGCTTTGAAGACAGCTTGTAAGGATCTAAATACATGTATGATATAACCACCAAATAGATATTTTGGATTGTGAATGCCCATGCAAGCTATTTACCCCTGCTCTCTCTCATTTTCTCATCTGTGACCAATGGCCTCAGCTGTGTTGAGATAAATTATAATAACCACCTAGGTAGGCACCTGCTACCAGTTTCCAGAGTTTTCGAGCTAATGGACATGAACATGCCACATATTTAGCAAGGAACCAATGACTGATTATTTTCTGTTGACCATACTGTTTATTCTGTTGTAATTTCAGTACTCGTACAGTAAATATGGATTTCAAATATGTATAATGGACTTACTGTGCCTGGAGAAGCCTCATGCTGTGGTCGCTACAATCCAGCTCTTCCTCCAGATGCCTGATTAGATCCTCCAAATACTTGATATAGTTCTCAGGGGTTTTTGTACGGAGCTTGATACGCATGATCTCACAAAATTTTCAGTCTGTTTATATTTTACTGTAGCTTGCTATAAATAATTGTCATCCAGGTTCGTCCAAACTCTAGAATCTATACTTGTACCTGTTCTAATTTTAGCCTGGATGTTGGATTCAAGAAATGTCTCACGCCTTGCTGTGGAAAAACGGAAGTATCTACAATTGTTTGCAGTAATTTGCAAAATTAGATTGGCAAAATCGTACTATTAGTAGTAGTAATTTCATTAAACGCTCCGATAGGCTATTTACTATTCATTGCATACATAGTAATTTTTGATAATTCCGCGCACATTGATACCAAAATTTAGTATGACCACCATCTTCCTCAATAAGTTCAGGGCACCTTTCAGGCATAGATTACAGTAGATCTTGTAGAAATCCAGTTGGAATGGCATCCCAGGCATTTCTAAGGGCTGTCCTGGCTCTGGCAATGCTATACGCCGCGTCAGAGATGGCCCCAGATGCGTATAGATATGTTCGAGAGGGGTCACTTGAGGGGCGAAGTATACAAGGTAAGGTGCATGTGTGGAATGTCAATGTACTGAAATCTATATCTTCCGCTTCCGCAGCATGGATCCTATATAAGAGACATTCACGTTACAGTTGTTGTAAAGCTATTCCGAACAGTTTGAGCTTTGTATGCCATCGTATGAGCTTCTGCGAATGCAGTAAGAAAGTCAAGTTTATCAACGTGATTGAATTCAAGCCTCAATCGCTGTTCAACAAGCTTTCCATAATATTGTTTGTAACAATGTTATATAGGGTATGCATAGTTACGTTCGAGAGGGATCACAGGTATGGAATATCAATATACTTAACCTATCTTCCGCTCTCCTGGAGCACCTACTATCTTTATAGACACATACACTACACCAGATCTTCCTTTTCCGAATAGTTCCAATAATCAAAGGTATAGTCTGAGAAAGATGAAGCCATCCGCGAACACGTAAATCTTCATATGGTGTAGCTGGAACCCAAATTGAGACGTATGGGCGTATTTCTTGGAATAGTGAGACCATAAACCTGCCGGTTGTTCCGGTCATAACTGCTCCCTCCTGAGGTGCGCTCAGTTCATGTTGAAGTCAACGAGGACATCAAAAGTCATAATTGGTATATGGAATGTCTAGGATTAAGATATATGGCTGGGCCGCCCTCAGATGACAATATAAGAAGCTTACGTAACGCGACCAAGGGGTATGTTAACTAACTAGTGGCTACATACTAATCTAAGAAGAGGTTTACATACTGTCAAATTTAGAATGACCACCTGTTAAGTACCGGTATATACTACCTACGATGATGCTTCACTACTAAGAACAATTCATCTCAATCTTGAATGGCGGGTATGTATCTTACATCGTCCCTTATTTCAGAATATATCTGCCAACACCATTACTAATAATTCTCAGATGCGACAAAAGATGAGCGGTACGTAGTACACAAAGCCCTGTGTTCCTCCCGACTTCCGAAGGTTTTCTAACCTCGCCCATAGGAATTGTGGACCTGTAGACCTTGAGGAACCAGATCAAGAAGACTTGACTCAAGGAAGACCCGTATTAGAAAGAGGATTTGATGGCAGGTCATGGGCTGTTCTAGGTTCGATCGGCGGTGCTGTATTGGGTTTTATAGCTGCCGACATTTGGGGTTCGATAGCGGGCATGGCATGTGGGAATGTATTAGGTGCTAGAAGGGATGTGGAAAAAACAAAATTAATTGAGTTGACTTTAGAGGAGGCTAAAGGTTTCTGTTTTAACATACTATCAGTCGCAGCTGGCAATGAAATACCTCCGGCCAATTAACCACCATCACGCAGTCAAGATAGAGATGTGTATAGTTTGGCCGCAACGGGTCACCTGTCGTTAAGGTCTTACACGTAAACACGTTAGACCGCAGCGTCAGAGAGAGGGCCCCGTCCGCGCTCCCTCGTAGGGAGGCAAGTGTCTTTGTATTGTAATAGCAATATGAATCTATGTACACAGGGAGGTGGGTGGGAAAATCAAGTCTCGACCGCGTGAGAGATGACGAGCAGCCTGCGGAGGTGAGCGGCTGACTCTCATGAGGCAGTTGTGAAGAACCCCGCAGTACGTGAAGGGTGAAGACTAATCCCGCAATTCCAATCCTTCAAGATAATGCGATCTGCTGCTATCGGACATTAAGGAAAACCACCTTTGGACAAGTTAGTTTACCTAAACAGTTAGCGCTGCCGCCTTATCATCAGGCTGAGGGTAATCTCACAAAGACTTGTGGTTAATTTAGACTGTTGGTATGTGAAAAAGCCTCGGGTTAATATCACATGTACTTTGTTACAGAACTTCACATTGGTAATCACACCTTGTATTTGCCACTGGACCATAAGCCATGAGCAAAAACCCAGGAAGCAACAAGTCTTCAAGTAGGTGAACTCTATCAGGCCTCCTCATTTCCTATTAAGTAATAGATCATGATGTCTACAGTATACAAGCAGACCTGCTCGTCTTTCAATTTAGGTAGATCAGCTACTCTGAGAAAAAGGTGCAGATTAACACGGGAGCAAACCACAACGTGTCAAGCTGACTGTAAAGATTACTAGTAAGCGGCTTTTCTACAAGCATGTTGTTGGCCCAGAAACAGAATCTTGAGTACGATTGGGGTTTGGTTTTATTGGACGCTCTGTGCCATATACTACCTAGTAGAACGCAGAATTCGGAATTTGCTCAGCACGGTATTGGGTATTGAGGCTTTGTTTATTGCCTTGCTAGCTGAAGTCTGCCTGAAATATAAGCTGTGGCAATTTACAGTCAAACATGATCGATAGCGCTAGGTAAATTCTTACTGTATGAGGTTCACATAGAATGAATTACACACGTGGCATACATTATAAACTGTGAAGCCATCGTCCAATATTACCCCTTCTATTCTTCAAGGCAGACTTCTAAAGATAGTACAGTATGAAGGTAGCTGGGTACGCCTAGTTTGGAGAAAACGAGTTATCCAGAAATGGAACACGGGGGGAGCCAACCGTCAGCTATTTATTACTCTTTACCCATCTCTGCAGACAAGAAAGAAGCTGTTTACTTCTTACCTAATATTTACAACATGTTATGGAAACTCTTTGGCTCATCAAGACAAAGAAGCCCTCCTTCCCATCCGACAAAATCAGATTCCAGAAACACCCAACGTGATTCTCCTCCTCCATACACACCAGCAGCATCGCAGACTCATGCAGATACCAAAACTGATGACTCTGCATACTCATTCCTATCCAAATTCGATACCATTTTTCTCGTCGATGACAGTGGCAGTATGGCCGGTCGATCCTGGAAGGAAGCCGAAGAAGCTATCGCCGCCATCACGCCTATCTGTACCCAATACGACCCTGACGGTATCGATATCTATTTCCTGAATCACTGCAGTAACTTTGACAGAAGTAGTGGATATACACACGTCAGCTCACCGGCCGCCGTACAGGAAATCTTCCGAAATGTTCGGCCCATGGGTATGACACCCGTCGGTCAACGTCTACGTCAGATTTTATTCCCTTATCTTCGTCGTATAGAGAAGATGGATACCAATATCGACGAATACGGTCAGCTCCAAGACCAAGCTTTGGCTGTTCATCCTATCAATATCATTGTCATCACAGACGGCGTATTTAGCGATGACGCCGAGAGCGTCATATTGGATGCAGCACGAAGTCTAGACAGATGTCAAGCGATCCCCTGGCAAATCGGAATCCAATTCTTCCAGATTGGCACGGATGAAGCTGCTATGAAACATCTGCAACAGTTGGATGATGAGTTAGGGAAGGCTGTCAAGAGTGATCATGTTAGAGATATTGTGGATACGGTGCCATGGAAGGGGCAGACGGGTAGGACGCTTTCGAGTGACGGGATTTTGAAGGTCGTGTTGGGAGCCGTTAATAAGAGGCTTGATCGGCAAAAGGGGCTTTAGATTTATTTTTTCAACCTTTCACTGTTGGTTTGCTCTTTCTTATGTGTCGCTACTTTTTGGCTGGCTGACGAACTGGTTTTACTCAATTACCTAGTCAATTAAATAGTCAGTCGCAGCAAATAGATATGGAAGAAGCAGGGCAGAATGTCAAAATATTACCGTGTTCATCATGGCCAATACATACTTTGCTTAGGCTTTGTCACGATTGTGATACAAACCGTATAAATACTACAGACGACATACCAAGCCAATGTCGTTTTCTTACACAGGCGAGTTGACTTACTCGTTCAAAATACTAAAACAGCACAGCAGGGTCACTATGACAAGTTACATCAACAGAGTAGACAAGTCTGATTTCCTGTCAGCAGTTCAGCAATTTTTTCTATCTCACGCCGGCTCTATCTGACCTGTCATACCTGCCGCCATATTGGAATTTCGATCTTGGAGTCCACGCAGGCATAAGAATGAGACTCCCTATAAAAATGATTGTTTTCTTTTCTCAAGCTTCAGTTTCTATTTGTTAATGAAGACTTAAAGACACCGATCGTTTCCGCCATATTCATAACTCCTCCTGCCCAACTATCGGATTAACCTCCTATTATACGTACACTGTGTTAATGGGCTGAGGTGCAAAATCCAATAGACTGGATGCCACGTGCTTCGCTGGCACATGCATGCCTGAATAGAGCCTTCTTAATAACTTAGTCAGGCAGGATTAAGGTATTGCCCCAACTATATAGTTCATTTGTTTAACGGCTGAGCCGCCCACAAGGGCCGCTCGAACGCAATCGACTCGTGTCGTAAAAAAAGATAACTGTACCTAAGTACCGATGTACCGAATTTTAAACCTTAGATACCCTTGGAGCATCGAAAACGTTATAATAAATCATCTTAACAAAATATGTACATTCTTCCTTTGGCAAAGCTGGAGACATACGTATCAACGTGAGGTGAGTAGAAGAGGATCCAGTCTCGCACCAACCCGAAGGAAAGCTGAAATTGCACATAGAGTACCTTTAGTATGAAGAGAAAGAAGTACACAGAAGCACAGCATGTATGATATAGTTCAGAGGTAAGATGGAGGGGTTCGACAATAGACGTAAGACCTGGAACGTAAGAAGTAGTAGCCCATCAAGGGCCACAGCTGATCAGTAGCTGCTATGAAAGCATATAACAACCAAGCGTACGGCCAGTTTCAGATGCTTTAAAGGAGGATTCAGGGCACCACCGTCGTTGCTGCTACGGTAACGTCCTTGTAATAGGAGGTTCGTCCACGAGCTGGGCAGGCCTGTCTTTCCGTCGTCCAGAAGCAAACTTTGATAGATTTTTGAATTTCGCAAGGCTACGTTCGCAGTCAGAGCCGCGTTGCCCGGATGTCATTTCCACATAGTTCTGGGGACAGCAGAGAGATGGGTGTTGCTCGAAGAATGCTTTGTACCCTCCATCCAAAATATATATTTCAGGAAAAGTGAGGCTGGGATAACATTCGATGTTAGAGTCACGGTCTATACCGCGGATAGCGGATGCGACATTCGGTGCCCGAAGGATAGAGTGTTCGCAGTAGAAAATAAGAGTTGTGCCTGGTTCGAGGTTCGCAAAGAGTAGCTCGAGGTTCGCAAAGAGCGGACCGTCCGAAACTTCGTAATTGATCGCGTTGATGATGTGTCCGCCTTTGTATTCATAATCAAATCGACAATCAATGATCATTAATTTAGAAAAATCATCCAGTTTGCCATCCAAGATATCGGCTAATACATTTTTGTCAATACGAGGCAGACTATCAGGCTGGTGCGCAGGTAAATGTCGAAGCCGAAGAGGATATGTAAGTTTCTCATCCATCATCGATGCCAAATATGTAGTGTAGGCCTGGGACTACACAGTTATTTTCCCAATCATACCCTGTTGTCACCACCATATTACGGATGTTTATATATCACGATGATATGACACAGTTTAAACATAAAAAGGCATATCTAGGCAGATACGATAGATATAGGGCAAGAATTTGTCATATTACATGTACAGCCTTTGAGGATAGCGAAGCTCAATTCGAATCACTCCCTCTTAGTTAGGCATATTGTATGTAAATCCCTGCCGCCTGTCAACTACCTATGATAGGTGACAGCTTCTGCGTCAACGTATCACTCGGGTATATATATATATATTAACTATATACCTTATGTTTCCAATCTCTCAACCCAGCCTACATTGCTACGAACGTACGATATTAGTTTTAAACGTGGTGTAGACATCGAGGAGTGTGGACGCGTCTCATAGTTATGGTTGGTGTGTGTAATTACTGTAATAATTACGGCAGTCAATATCAAATACATATATTACAAATCCTAGATAACATACCCAGGGCTATAAGTTTAGTAAAATGGTGGTGGATTTATCCCTTCCCCTCTCCTGGTTCCTTAGAGCATAGCCTTGTCCCAGGTTGTCCCATCCTAAAGAATGGGTAGAGGAGCATATGATACTACTTCTTGTGTAAAGAAGCCTGCAATTGAAATGCTCAAAAAAGCAACTCATTTAGGTAACATTTCTGTTTTCCAGTGCAGTCAGCCTGTGTTGGGTAGATGTGCTTTCTCAATCTCAGTCCCCTTCACGACAGGTAAGATCACGACTTCATACATCCACAGTGCTGATTGAAATTCAGAACATCGTCTTCCCGGACATCAATGCACCACGACAGAATAGTCCAACATTTTTGATCGTGATGCAGGCCCATATCGAATAGCATAGTCCGAACCGATTTTCAGCGAATGTTTGGTGCTCAAAGAGCTGTACAATGTGGTTTTCGTCTACAAGAAACAGTAAATTACATGTGAGAATGTAGATATCAGAAAGGGACTATAAGAACTAAAGTTTTCACTAGTGGTTACAGATGGGATGGAATAGGAGAGGCTCGTCTGATTCTGGTCTGGTATGAGAGCCCAGTACGGGAGAAGATGTACAGTAGTAAGATAACATATTGTATGGACATCCCATATCTACCACGCAAGCCAGCAATTCCATCAGTGGGAATCTTGGGCTAGTTATGCAATTTATAAGGCCTACAGCATCCTCGGAGGTTTCATTAAGGCCTTCAAACCGAGCACTTGGCTTGCCATTGCAATCGCTGAAAGACAAAACAGTTTTGCCACCGGTGTGGGATATATCTAATTTCCAGTTATAATTATCATTCTTTATTATCTCTGATAATCCAAAGAGGTTGTTAAGGTGGTAAAGGAGGAGCTGTGAGGAAATGTGAGAACATAGCGAATGAGTTTGAGAATCACAAAATGCATTATGTTTGGAAACACATTCTTCTGTTTTCCAAGAACAGGACTTGTCGTGGCCACAAAGCTTGAATTTGTACTCCTCGGCCAAGTAATGGAGGTTATCGTCCCACCAGATACGAACGCCTAGCTTTTGATCTTGTATTGGAGCAAAAGCCATCCTTCCGATTTCCCAAATTTCCCGTACCGAGCTTTTTTTCAGCCTGAGCCCTTTCCTTTTCATATTTACTCAATGGGTCCTGACGCTGATAAAGCATCAAATCAAGTCAAGGGACAATGCTGTATTGCTTATCAAATGTAATATGACTAGAAAATCCTGAATAGTTGCTTCACAAGGATGAAAAGGAGAAGTGACTAGCAAGATCGTATGTATTCAGTTGTCTCTTCGGGCTTCCGTCTTCCATACCACAACAATGGCTTTCTTATATGTCCTTCGACACGAGGAATGAGTTCAATTCCCCGGTACATTCTCAATGACCTACAATATGATATATCATATGTAACGCTTCATGATGAGTGAGGCAGTGTTCGGATGCCTCTGATTAGCTGAAAAGAGAGGATACGACTTGTTTTTAGGTTGCCCAAATGCCCTTTTTTTCTTCACGGTAGATTTTGGGATATTCTAAAACACTCCCTCAGATAAAATCGATAGATAAAGGTGAATTAGGTTTCAAGAGTCGTTTGAGAAAAGAATTGCCTCGATACCTGCAGTTTCCATAGCTTTTTGGTGAGGAGCGAGACGATTGGAGATATTTTTAACACCAACCCAGTGAAGGAAAGTTTAATTTCTTATTTGCTGAGAGCTCTGGTGAGTCTTTTGTTGGCATGTAATGAATTTCAATATCCTCTTTTTAAACTTCTTGTCGAACCCAGTGGTTATGAATATCAACATATCGGAACATCGTACATAGTAGTGGAGCATCTTTCTCCAGCAGCTCTAACATCTGTTTGTTATTACAGAAAACGTGAAGAGCAGGTGTCTTAAATTGTATTCCCAACTCAAGAAGCAATCGAAGCACACATTCGCCTTCCGTAGTTAATGTTGTGACCATATCCTGCTTGTTTGCTTGCCATCCTATCGTTGCTCCGTAAAGCGTCATGATGTACGCTTGCGAGCTCTTACGGTCGAGTGTATTATCTGCAAAGGAGGCGTCTTTTGACACTGAAGGATCTTTCACCTTCTCCAAGTCTCAAAGCGTACATACGGTGGCGTTTGAGGTAACATAAAACTTTCTTGGCAGCTTCATGGTGTTTGGGACCTCTGTTTGACAAGAAACGTGCAAGCCGTAAGATGGCGAAAGCCACGTCAGGCTGGGTGCTTACAGCCGCGTACATGATTGAGCCAATTCTGCGTTGATACTGATGCCGACTCTTGTAGTACCTGTTCCTTCGTATGGTAGTAATCCTTAAGATATTGCTCGTTCCTTATATTTTATAGCACCCCATGGGCGTTCGGCGGCGCCATTTTGAGCCCAAGTATATGCCGGCGAAGGTTCGACCATAGTGAATAGCTTGTGGAGCCATTTCATGACGTCGGGGCGGTGCATAAAATCTCATTGTCGAGTTCAATCTTGAGCGGGGAGACCTTATAATGCCGTTGTAGGTATTTAAAGAACCACTTGAGGACTCCCAGGATCTCGTCACTAGTGTGACTGCTAAGGTAAAGGTCCCATATAAAACCACTATATCAATTAGTTATCAACAAAAGAGCTTTCTCACCGTTCATGGAGCTTTCCTTAAAATCGTGAAATTCAAGAGCGAGGTGCACTGCTGGATGTTCTAAAATCTGCCTCGCTTCGCGACGTGGTTGACGTTTGGCCTTTGATTTGCCACGAGCGTCGCATTCGACCGTCGTTATACCTTTTACCTGACCAGTCAATATCACTCCTTTTATAGCTGTTGTGAGAATGTTGAAGGGCTTGAGGATCAGGATGACCTAGATGCTTATGCCATCTCTCGACATCAACCTTCCTAGCCTTCCGACTGGTCCGAGAGTTGAATCGATGTCGTCGAATCATGAAGCCAGTTTTGACTAGTGGGTGGTTATTGGCGATATACTCAAGCACGAAATGATCAACTTTATCTTTTAGATTAGCAAGCATCTTATTGTCTCTGTCTCGGAGACGGGTGGAAAGAGGTCTCGAATTCCACCAAATTCCCTGCTTTATGACTTGGCGTAGCGAGACAAGATTGGCAACAAAGTCTTCGCAGTATGCTACATCATAAATTTGGAATATATGCAACTTTCTATATGGTCCATGGACCTCGATATTCACTTCTCCACATCCAAGAATTGAGATTTGGTGGATGCCTGCCCATAGGAAATCTCCAGGTGTTGATTGTCGGAAATTCACGAAGCATTCATATTCGTTGGACACGTGTAACGACAATCCGGAGTCCAAGGTTGAAGAATACTTGACAGCGCGGCGAGAGCTTTGTGTATGCCGTTATAAAATGTTGCCTGCACAAAACGGCTGCCTTTTTAGACAGTCATTTTGGAACTCTAGCTTCCTCTGCTTCGGAGGACTGGATTTGAGGCAACTGATCAGCTTCTTATGCTTTATCCTGGGATCGGGAGCGCTCGCGAGAGGACGCTATCGCTTTACGAAGTCTCAATTGTCGGACCCTCTGGGCTCGAGGTGAGTCCTTATCTAACCATTTCTCAGCTTTCTGCTGAAAGGCAAATTTTGGTGTGTCTGCCTTCTGTCTCTCCCATTCATGGGCTTCGAGTTTGTAGTCATTGAGGAAGAGAGTATAGGTATTTCGTGTCTCATTGTCAATAGTAACCGGTTTATGGCCTTGTTGAGAGGCATCTCAAGCTTCGGTTCGGGGGTTGGGACGCTTCCTGGCTGGACAGTGTTTCTTCTCGTTCCGGCAGCTGCACCGATACGCTCTCGGTGACCATCGACTTGAGTAGGCGTTGTGTGTGCTCCGTCGCAACGCTCGCAATGAAGTCATCGATCTTTGGTTTGACTGGTTTTGAGAGCTGTTGATATTTTGAGGAATTTGGAACAAACCCTTCTCTTTAGCTTGGTTGAGAAGCAATTATTTTCCAGTCGTCCCAATTCCCGGAGGAATTGAGCTTTAATTCGGTCGAGTTGATGGTCATGGTGGATATAGGGTCGGTAAGGCAGATCGGATACTTAATTGTCAGATTGCTGGGTTAACTTAAGGCCGATCCTGAATAGTTGCTTTACAAGGAGAAAGAGAGGACTAAATACATACAATCTTGCTAGTCACTTCTTTTTTTTCCCCTTGTAAAGCAACTATTCAGGATCGGCCTGAAGAACCATGTAATTTCGCGTTTCAGAGCATTGCATGTGGAGCACGCATAAGATGAGTTGATGGCCTTCAAACCAATATAAATGTCACATTTGTACTATTTGTACCCTGCACCTAGCTCTATTTCCGACAACATCAAACGACATTTTGAGTGTAACTGTAATTTTTGCAATTATCTAATGTGACCACATTGATGAACTGATAACATCATAATTCCAACAACACCCATTACCATACGAATCGGTGTCTGGTCATGACTACTGATCGCCTCAAGATTAACGCCATTCTTAATCATTTATTGAACTAGTTGACTGTCCCCATTTGTAGCACTATTGATATCAGCACCTCCACAATCCGGCTTTGGCCCTCTATCACTAGGACTCAACAAGGGTACTCCTTCCACAAAAATTTCCCTACCTGATAACTCATCCATAGGCAAACGTCAGCGGAGCGCGACTTCTCAGAGCGATCTGCCTAAGTAAATTTCGGCCAGCGACCTACTAGACACGGTAGGCTACTGTGATATTGAGCTCTCCTATCTAAGAGACCCAGATGATAAGCATGATGTCCTCTGTGCCACTATTGAGTCCTGCAATTTCAAAGGCTGGCTTGAAGGTGCTGATGGATAAGTATAATTAGTGCTGTTTATCTTCTACGGGTTACAGGGTTTTCTGATACAAATGCTTATTTGTAGAACCAAATTCTTTATGCATGGGGATTATCAACTGGCATATTACTCAATTGTGCAAATCATGTACGCCTTCCCCGATAATGCGTTACTCTATATCAATCTATTGTCTGATATCATCACTGATAATAGGTTAGTAAACCTATGTGGTGCGTTTTTACGTCTGACAAACAGGGATGGTTTTCAGTAGTAGATAGTTAGTAGTTAACTAATTTATGACTGTACAAACTCCACACTAACCAGTTAAGCGACCTATATAAGACTAACGAGAGGACTCGAATTTGAGGTCTGAGTCCGTACTTCAAACGCAAGCAAATAAATTCTTGATTCCTCTTGTTCGTCAGACGTCCAAAATGTGTCCAATATCGGATTCCTTCTCAGTGGATGTACGACCTGTATTGATTGGTGATCATCGTACTGCATGTACCGCTACTCCTCCAGCCGATTTCTTCATTTTCAAGACTAGTTCTTCCTTTAAGAACGTGCCAAAACCCTCAGTGATGCCGCCCTTGAATAAGTCATTGTGAAATGAACTACTTCCAATTAGTGCATGTTTATTCAGATCCAAGCCACATATGGCACACTAAATCTTCCAGCTCAATTTCAGCAATGTGGAATAAGCTAGCCATGATTACAGTCTAACTCATACAATCTTTGAATATATTACAATTATTCCAATGAACGATGTACTCGAATATTATTGTACAGGAATTTGTAACTGTCTTGGAGTTCCGAGAGTTAGGCTGTATCAATACAGTATGATCTACGCACAAGATGTCTCCTATCTCTTCACTCGAGACGCAAGAGGTTAAGTTAGGTGTCTTGATAAATGTATAATGAGTGCTTCAGTCAATTAGACATAGGATATGGGGCCATTTTCTTACTAGGCATATCAGAAGTGTGAATGGCCTTTTGAGAACCGGAAATTATACCATTCGCCCCAAAGAGGGGCCGTGGTTAGAGATTTCGTAATGTATGTGGTTTTCTTCATGCTTTTCCCGGCTGATAGGAGAACGAGAATGCTGGATCCAGTAAAATCGGCTGTCTTCACGTAAATACTTTACTTTAATCGAAGAAACATAGATTTAAGCCAATTTAGTAATAGGCAGTTATTGGAAAGGGCTTATGAAATACAGTTAGTTTTATGTAGAAGATATCAATAAATGCCATATCATCCGACGGCTTACGTCAATCATCGCAACAAAGAGCTTTTTTCACAGGATACGTGAAAGTAGTACAGCGGCACCTTAATGTACATCTGTGATTAGCTTCCATGAAAGACTTTTGTCCGACGAGGGGTAAAGAATATTGTTTCTGAGGATCTAGATAATACAATTTTCAAGATCGGGTCAAGATGGCCGTATACGCTATTTGGAGCTTTGTTACAGTCCTTACACTGTTGAATCTCCATTATTTGCGAAGAGGGGCCAAATGGAAGAGTGGAAAAGGATTCGAGAAGTCAACTACAGTGTTCTGGCTTGGTAGAGGCAGCGGTCTTTTTGCCGACGCACGATCCAAGCTAGGGGCTTTTATCTACGGACGGCAGCTTTTTGCTGATGCTTATTCCAAGGTGAGGTCATGCTATGGAAATAATAGTCACCTTCCAAAACTCACTTGGATATTCTTTTCATAGTGTAGTAGTAAAAACGAGATCGTGAAGATCTCGACGATATCTGTCCCTTTGGTGCTGGTGCCGAAAACCCATCGCAAGTGGTTTTTCAAGGAAAAGTCCGACGTCCTTGATCATAGGGCAACTGGCTTCGATGCTGTCGAGTCCCTTTATACCATGCCATGCGGACATATCCTTGATTTTCCAACACACGTGAAACTCATTCATAGAATCCTCACTCGAGAACTACCCAACCTCACCGATGACCTGGTTGAAGAGATAGAAGATGGCATACAAAAATATTGGGGATCTGATACGGAGAGTTGTCGCAGCGTGGATGTTTGGGAGACAGTACTCATGCTAGTGACCCGTACATTCAACAGAATCTCTGTTGGGAAGCCTCTCTGTGCAGATGAAGGGTATCTGAACAATACTAGACGCTACGTAACCAGCATTCATGCAATGTCAGCCATCATCCGTGTATTTCCAAGCTGGGCGAAGCATCTCGTGGGACCGATCTTGTCAATCCCATGCTGGTACTACTACTGGCGCGGTAAGAGATATGCAATGCCTCTAATTCATAAATATTTGGAAAAGGCACGAATGGACCCAGACAAATGTGAAGGATTTTCTAATAAACCCAATGTATTCGCCATGTGGATTGTCCAAGAAGCTCTTCACTCCCAGATTCCACGTGAAATGAATCCAGAAACAATCTATGCTCGTCTGATGACAATGAATTTCGCGGGCATCCACACCTCATCTTTCACCACTGTGAATATGTTACTGGACTCACTATCGCGGCCTGATATTTTTAAGGATATGGAAGAGGAAGTTAGGAAGACTTATCATTACCATGGCGACAAATGGACCCAACCTGCTGTGAATCAGTTAAAATACACCGACAATGTCCTCCGTGAGAGTATGCGCTTATCAGGCCCTATTATCCGCTTGCTGAGAGAAGTAAAAGCCAAAAATGGAATTGAGATAAATGGCGTGCCCCTTCCTCAGGGCACGAAAATTGCTATAGATATGCACAATATGCATCGCGACGAAGAAATCTATAAGGATGCAACCGTATTCGATCCACTCCGTTTTAACCCTTCTACAGGCCGTGAAATGCCTGCTACTACCAAGACAAGTGAAAACTTCTTGCCATTCGGGCATGGTCGGGTACGTCCTCTACAATTTATACATGTACATCTTCCTTACATCGTATCTAGCATAGATGCCCTGGCCGCTGCTTTGCAAGTCACGAGATAAAGCTAATCGTTGCGACGATCATCATGAAATATGAGATCCAATTCCTAGATGAGCGTCCGCCAAATTTATGGATGGGTGATTCAATCATACCCCCCAATACCATACTCAGACTAAAGCGACGACGCTGCACTTGAGGACTTGTTCATCCTTTATATATATATATTATTTGTTAGTCTAATCGGAACGGCTAGAGTGCGGCGGAAGCCATTTTGGAGTGGATGGGATGAGAATCAACTCAATTTGATAGCCTGGAAAGAAAAAGAAAAGTTATCACCAGCTATGGATATCTCAAATGATAGCTACAGTTTTTCAATTTGTAAGTCGTTTGTTGGTACCTAAAAACCGGAAGTTACACAGTTCGACCAAAAACGAGTCCCCTCTAAGGGGTTGTTAGTTTTGTATGGTTGGTGTAGGCTATTTCCGGCTGCGAACGTATCAAATTATGGATGAGAATGTATGGAATTCTTAATTCTTGTTATTGTTTTTCTAAGTACACTGCAAGCGGGAGATGTCTTTCACCCCGGTTCGGCGGATTTCTCCCATAACTTCCTCAGTGTGTGGCTCGCTCTGATTGACTATTTAGCTTAATTAATCTAATATCTTACTGTATTCGCAATAGTGCAGTTTTTAGTAGTGGGAAGCAGATGTCGAATCTGTCTGTATCTTATAGATACACTATAATTGAATGTTAGC